TGATCTATACACAAATGCTGCTCCAATAAGCCAAAGTTGTTTTGGTGACTATAGTGTCCCTTTAACAGGAATTAGTGAGATTCTTTGTGGGCCAATGGAAGCAGGGCCGGTGCTACCATAAGGAGGCACAAGTGGCCGCCTTAGGGTGCATCGACCCGAGGGGCGCAAAAACGTCCAAGTGACCAGTGGGAGCATGGAGAACTCCGCTCCCGCCGGTCACTTTCTGCAGTAATTTACTCCGCTGGCTGTGAGATGGGGGGGGGGGCAAACGTGCAGCCACTGAGGGAGGGGGCCGAAGCAGCGAGGAATAACCACGGCCAATCTCTTCCTGAGCTAAAGGCCGCAGGGATATGATGTCACGTTTCCCAGCGGCCTTTAGCTCAGGAAGAGCTGAGGAAAGCTACTACAGTGCAGCAGGATATCTGTTTAGCAATAATTAGAAACAGTAAGTCTGTGTGTAAGAGTTAGTGTGTGTGTGTGTGTGTGCGTTTTAGAGCCAGTGTGTTTGTGTGTAAGAGTTAGTGTGTGTGTTAGAGCCAGTGTGTGTGTAAGAGTTAGTGTGTGTTTTAGAGCCAGTGTGTCTGTGTGTGTGTGTGTAAGAGTTAGTGTGTGTGTTAGAGCCAGTGTGTGTGTGAGTGTAAGAGTTAGTGTGTGTGTGTAAGAGTTAGTGTGGGTGTTAGAGCCAGTATATGTGTGTGTGTGTTAGAGCCAGTGTGTGTGTGTGTGTGTGTGTGTTAGAGCAAGTGTTTGTGTGTGTGCAAGAGCCAGTGTGTGTGTTTAAGAGTTAGTGTGTGTGTGTTAGAGCCAGTGTGTGTGTAAGAGTTAGTGTGTGTGTTAGAGCCAGTGTGTGTGTGTGTTAGAGCCAGTGTGTGTGTGTGTGTTAGAACCAGTGTTTTTGTGTGTGTGTGTGTGTGTTAGAGCCAGTGGATGTATGTAAGAGCTAGTGTGTGTGTATGTGTGTAAGAGTTAGTGTGTGTTTGTTAGGGCCAGTGTGTGTGTGTGTGTGTTAGAGCCAGTGTGTGTGTGTTAGAGACAGTGTGTGCCTATAAGCAGTGTGTGTGTGTGTGTTAGATCCAGTGTGTGTGTGTGTGTGTGTGTAAGAGCCAGTGTGTGTATAAGCAGTTTGTGTGTTTAAAAGCCAGTGTATATGTGTGTGTCAGAGTGAGTGCGTGTGTGACACAAATGGGTAGAGAAAAGTAGGATGAAGACACAAAAACATTAAAAAAATGCCAAACAGGGGATACAATATACAAAAAGGGAAAAAGAGAGAGAAAAGGGTGGCAAGATGCACAAAAGGGACAAAAGAATGGGTAAGAGGGTCAAAAGTAGTAATATTAGACAGACAGGTGAAGACAAATTTTGGGGGCAGCAAAATGTGTCTTTGCCTGTGTAGACAGAAGTCCCTGCACCGACCCTGAATGGAAGTTGATGACAAGCTGCACCCGTGTTCCCTGGTGGTCCCTTGGAGGGAGTGTGTGGTCTGCATCTCTACAGGTGTAGATTACTGTAAATATTCATCATCTTTTTAACTAATCTTTTCTCTTTAGAGTAAAACACTGATCTAAATATGAAAGTCGTCATTGAATCTGGAGATAGCAATTCTTACAGCAACATAACAACTATGTCTATAAAGGACACTCTTTGTTTTCCTTATGTACTTCTGCATATCTCCTGTAAAAGTACAATTTATGAAAATACTGAATCTCTCCACTCTTGATAAACATTCTAAAATGTTAAATATTCCCTTAATATTATTCAAATGCACTCTTCAAATGAAAACAACTTTCTGCCTACTTATGTCAAGAGAAATATTTTGACTCAGTTAATCATTTTCATGAACATGCTTGTTTCAGATATACATTCAGTAACATGGAAAAAACAACTTCCATCTGTGGTCACCCTGTAGACCTCAACTTCATCAAAAGAGGCTTTCTCTGTCTCCAAACCAAAACCTAAAATCCCAGGAGCGCCTGGAATTTTCTTGGTGTTAAAAGATTAAACTTTCCACCCAATTAAATCAATGTGTTTCACTAAAACTGAGCACTGTTGCCTATTCTCTTGACAATCCAATTAATTTAGATTCACACAATTTGTCCTTCATAAAGCCATGTTATCTGCTTCTAATCATATTGCAGTTTGAATTGAGACTTTGATCTATTTTTAGCTTAAATAATTTTTATTGTTGTGATATTCATGTGAGAAAGTCAAGTGAAGGAGCTAACTTGCTTTTCTTACACAATAAATACTTATAGCAAAGAAGTAAATTGCACTGAGCAGTGTCAGAGAGATTCCAATGTACATGACTATATTTATAATAAATGAAATGTGAAAAACATAAAGAAAACATTAAAAAGAACAAACATGGGGGGGCGGGACTTCCGGTCGGACGGAGCGGTCGCATGTAACTGCAGCTCCGCGATCGGTAAGGCCTAAAAAGCGGGAAAAACGCGGCGAAAGAGCCCGAAACGACCCTACCAAGGTGCCCAACAGCAGGGGAACCTCCTACCCAAGAGATGGCACCCCCAAAGTCTCAAAGGGCATCGGACTTCTTCCGGCAGGGTAAGGGAGGGAAGCAGCGCATGGAACAAGATGGCGGCGGCTCCCGCTAACCCACTCACACCTCAGACGCAGGATCAGACACAGATTCGAGGCAAGTAACTGCTGATGATCTATCTGTGTCGGAAAAGCGCCTGGCGGCAATGCTGCAGGACCTACGCACCTCTATGAAGACTGACTTCCAAGCTGCGGTCTCTGACATGCGTAAAGACATCCACGAAGTGGGGACACGGGTGAATGCACTAGAAGAAAAAACTGATGAGCTTTGACACATGAATGACACCATAGTGGAGAAGATACAAAGGATGGACGCTGATAACAAACGCCTTATGGAAAAACTGGCAGATCTGGAAGACCGCTCCCGCCGCAATAATATCCGCGTGCGCGGGGTACCAGAAACAGTGACACAAGAAGTGCCAAGAGACATTGTGACCAGATTGCACTACTACAATGCGAAGGAAGCCATACTCACGGCGCAAAGGAAGGCCTCAGCGATGCCGCCAACCTATGAAAATATCTCCCCCTTTGCCGACCTCTCGCCGACGACAATGGCCAGGAGAAGGGAATTCATTAACATTACGAAATGCCTCAGAAACAACAAAATACCGTACAGGTGGGGATTTCCTACAAAACTCCTTATCTGACGGAATGGCTCCCTAATAAAGAGTGAAGATCCGGCGCTGGGAATGGACAAGCTCAAGACCTGGGGCTTGTTCCCAGACGGCAAAGCATCAAACACCCAAGCCTCCCTAAAGAAGGTGACCGCGGATTGGTCCAAGGCCTAAAGAACACTACCGCCACCCAGAAGGGGGTGCCGGCTACAGCACGACTCAGCCACTCTGTTAAAGATCCATGAGACCCCCAATGGTGACCGCCTCAATCATCTGGGAATGGCATAGCATGAAGGACATTCAGAACCCACGGGAGTACTCTTACTCGCCCTCACCCCCTCCCCCCCAAAACCCAGCACAAAAGAAAAAATGACTCTGCCACACCACAGCGCAACTTGGACCACCCTGTCACTGCGAGACCTACCCCTAAGCAGTCAGACTCGCTGCTCAGAACCTGGCAGAGACTGTCCACTAAAATCTAAACCCAGCAAGGCCGGACAAAAGGCCGAAAAACTGCAGGGCGCAGAGGATGTACTCACCCCCCACCCCTCCACTCATGGACTTATGCAAAACAGCCAATGCCACCTACCTCTTCGAGTGAGCTGGGCTCAAAAAGAGGTACAGGCCTCACCAAATATCAGACGCCCCCCCGATACACTTGCGGGACACCGCCTGCTGCTGTGACCCCATCTCAGTGCAGTAGAGGGTGCGAGCTCGGCAGCAGGGTCCCCCACATAATGCTTAATAGCTGTTTGAAATGTATATACTTTATTTCTGTTTTATGGTTTTGTTGCCTAGGTTATGTTTCAGGTTGTTCCCCCTGCCCTAACCCCCTACCCGAGATGCTCCCTTTTCACTACTGGGTACGACGAGGGAAAATAGCCTCACCCTACCAACTCTGTCATGTAGTGGCAATAGGAAATACTACACCCAAACGACCGGGCCCTAGGGCCACCCCAACTAGTTAAAATGACCTCCGCCAATAAATTCCGCCTGGTGTCTCTGAATGCCCATGGGCTGAACACCCCACAAAAACGCAGGCTGGCGTTCTCCCAATTACGCACCCTACACGCCTCTGTAGCATGCATACAGGAAACCCACTTCTCAATTAAAAATCCACCAAAATTCCCGTCCACATCTTATCCACAAGCCTACCATGCCACGGCACCGAATAAGACACGAGGTGTTAGCAGTCTCTTCCACTCTGATTGGCAATTTAAATGTGAAGTAGAATACAAAAGCCCCGATGGCCGGCTTTTAATGCTAGTAGGACTACTAAATGACGTCCAGGTGACAGTAATCAACCTATATGCCCCCAACACCAACCAGTATGACTTCATTAGGAAAGCTTTACAACAAGTAGATAAGAAGAAGAGAGGGCAGACGCTTATATGTGGGGACTTTAACTGCGTACTGGACCCTGCTCTAGATAGGACCGGCAAACCCTGCTCCCACTTGCGATCCACACAACTAGGGATGAAAATAACAGCGCTCCTCAACTCACACGGCCTACACGATACATGGCGTTCACTATACCCAGCATCTAAAGACTACACGTTCTATTCCAAGGTACATGATCGATACTCCCGGATAGACATGTGCTTAGTGGATGGGAAAATGCTAGATACCCTGGAGGAGGTATCAATTGCCCCCTTGACTTGGTCAGACCATGCCCCCCTCACATCAGTCTTTACCATGCTCCACCCGGTCCGGGGTCGGGGTCAGTGGAGACTAAACGAATCACTGATAGACAATGTGGACAGGGCGGCCGAGATAAGGAGCGCCTTGGTGCACTATTTTGTAGATAACCACTACACCGACACGAATGTCGCTATGACATGGCTTGCCCATAAGGCGGTAACGCGCGGTCTGCTAATACGACAAGGGGCAAAACTGAAGCGCCAATTGACAGAAAAGAGCAGGACCCTACTGACCGACTTAAAACAGGCAGAAACACGACACAAGGCCTCTCCCACACACTCCAACAGGCAGGAGGTACAGAAGATAAGGGCCACCACAGAAGCACTACAGATGCAGCAAGTAGAACGGGCAATTTGTAAAATGAAAACCAACTACTATAGACAGGGAAATAGAGCGGGCAAAATATTAACCTCCCAACTCAGGGAACGCACCTCACAGGCAAAGATCCCATATATCAATGACGACACAGGCACCAAAATTTTACGCAGGGCTATGTAACCTATCTGGGGACACCACCCAACACCAACCCAGATATTACTACTTTCCTAGAAGGGGTGACTCTCCCTCGGCTCTCCAACGAACAGGCTGCTGCACTGACCAACCCAATTGTAGCATCTGAGGTATCAAAGGCTCTACACGACACACCCAGACACAAAGCCCCAGGCCCAGACGGCTTCTCAACCCACTACTACAGGGTTTTTGAGGACCAGCTGCTTCCCCACCTCACGGCCTTATTCAACCATATCCTAGAGTCGGGTAAGATACCCCCGGAAATGTTGGAAGCCACCATTATTACGCTCCCTAAACCAGGCAAAACTACTGATACATGCGCAAACTACCGCCCAATCTCACTCCTCAACGCTGACACAAAGTTGTTTGCCAAGACCCTTGCAAACAGAATACGCCCTATACTAGCTCAATTAGTATCCCCAGAACAATCAGGGTTTGTCCCGGGGCGACAAGTGGAAGATAACAATAGACGAGCCCTTGACGTAATGGAACTCATGAATAGAGATTGATCACAGGGCATAATAATGGCCTTAGACTCAGAGAAGGCCTTTGACAGACTCCACTGGGGTTATATGACAGAGGTCCTTCGTAGGTTCAACTTCCCGACAAAATTCCTAGCTGGTTTATTATCCCTTTACTCATCCCCCCAAGCCACAGTCATGAACTCCGGTTTCATCTCCAATAGATTCACCCTATCGAACAGCACAAGGCAGGGGTGCCCCCTATCCCCCCTCATTTTTATCCTGGCACTGGAGCCCCCGCTCCATAAAATCAGGACTTACCCCAGCATTATAGGCACCCCTTCCCCGATAGGCCCGAAAAAAATGGCAGTGTTTGCTGACGACATCCTTCACTTCCTAACAAACCCTTCGGACTCCCTACCGGCCCTCCTGGACCTACTACGGGAATATGGCCAGGTCTCTTACTACAAAAACAATGTAGCAAAAACACAGGTACTCCCACTGAACATGCCCAGATCCCAACTCACAACCCTACGAACGTTATATCCCTTTGAATGGAGGAAGGATACCATTTCCTATCTAGGCACACAACTAGCACCCTCCAAACAGCTCCTCATAAAACATAACCACAGGCGTCTCACAGCAAAAATGGAGCAGGTGCTGGAGGGCTGGGGAAGCAAAAACAAACACACATCCTGGTTGGGGCGCATCAACGCCGTAAAAATGATCATACTACCGCAAGTATTATTTCTATTCAGGGCCCTACCCATCAGTTTACCAAACTACACCCTCCGAGCATTTCAGCGACTCATCAACGCACACATATGGAGGAAAAAACCACCCAGATTCTCACTAGCGAACATTAGCACAGCCATGGGGGGAGGCGGGGTGGGTGTGCCACACATAACCAAATACTACCTAGCAACAAACATATCTCAGACGGCGCGCCTCCTCTCCTCCTCGAACTGCCCACTGTGGCATCGACTGGAAAGTGTGGTCTGTGCGCCCTACTCCCTCAGGGACCTGGTTTGGATCCCAGCCAAGGCCCAACCTCGACTTACGAACCCTCTCACGACAACCAAGCTGTCCCTGCAGCTATGGTTGAGATGGGCCCCAAAAATGCTTAGTGCAAAGATAGAGACCTTTGCCCCACTGACAAGTCTCCAGCACCACACACATGACCTGGCCCTGAGCGAGTGGGTAGACAGAGGGGTAACGCAGATAACACACCTCTATGGAGCAAATGGCCTGCTAGCATTCCCGGACCTCCAGAGCCAATACCATCTACCAAACAGCGAAATATTCACATATTTACGCATAAAACATATATTAGGGGCTACCGGCAAGGAAAGGACACCAACACAACCCCAAAACCACTTTGACTTGCTATGTCAAGGTCTAAAACACCCCAAAAAAAACACTCTCCCTGTGTTACCATAGGCTGCTAGACATAGACAGACCGGCCAAACAATCATACATGCTCAAATGGGAAAGAGATTTGAATTGCGAACTCGAGCATGGGAAGTGGATAGGGGCCATGACATTGGTTAAACGGGCGACAAAGTGCTTAGACCATGTAGAAGCAGCCTACAAGATGTGGATGCAGTGGTACTACACACCACACAGGCTGGCCCAAATATACCCAGGGGTACAGGATAGATGTTGGCGCTGCAGCCAACAAATGGGAAACATGAGCCACATATTCTGGTACTGCCCGGCACTCAGCCAATACTGGCAACAAATCCAAGACACAATTAAATCCAAACTAGGAAAACAATTACCACTCAAGCCTGAACACTATCTGCTCCACATGCTACCCCGAGACCTTACAGCCTATGAAGCAGCGCTGACTACCCACATCACTTTAGCAGCTAAAACGTGCATAGCCGCCTTGTGGAAAACCACGACAGTACCTGACATAAAGGCAGTACTCGCCAAAGTAAGCCTCACCCAACAGTACGAGCAGATGGCACATACAATAGGTGGCACACTAGAACACTACAACAGGACATGGTCTAAGTGGTGATGCCTGGGTGAATAACAGGAAGCCAATCTATGCCCCACCAAGCCTTAAAGCAAGAGAGCATCTCACCCCTCCCCCTTCCCCGTACTACACCCTTATCCCAGTTAACACCCCCCCACACACAAAATAAGGGCTTACGTTGCCTTACCGAGCCTTAAAATATGAGATGATAAGCAGGGAAATCAGTTTCCAGCCTACAAGACACGAAACCAAATAAATAAATAAATAAAACGCAAAAGTGATACATACCCAGCTGTTAACCATCTGGCCCACCCCGAAGAAGAGCGGAGGATACAGGTGGGAGGCTACCCCCCGGATGCCCGGGAGACACCACTTAGAGGCATGATAACACACGCCAGAAAGCATGCCCAGCCTACCGGGTACCAGAATCAGGGCATTACTCACCACCTATAACAAAAGCATGAATGTCGACTGAAACGAAACACTGTACCATTGCCACAAGGATGTATTGTAAAATGCCATTGAAAAATGTTATCACTATACACACTCTGTTTATGCAATATGTATGAAACGTAAAATGTATGTTAAAGTGTCAATCCGAAACCTTTTCATCTCAATAAAAATGAAACATTTAAAAAAAAAAAAAAGAACAAACAAACTCTCTATCACATTGTTGGTAAGATGGCACAAGTTGTAAGATGTGAGAAAAACGGAACATCAAGGTCAGGAAATTTGTGTTTAATTTGCAAGTGTGGGAGGATGGTCCTAGAGAGGTCATCTAGAAAGTTATGGATCCTGTTCCAGCTGTTTTTTATGATAAATATGGATATTGAGCCTCACCTTCCTGAAATTGTGTGTTGAGTAGCAGAAGGGATAAATCTCATGAATTGCTAGTGAAGCGCCATGAGTTTTATCACTCATTTCTACACCTTAAAAGAACACTATAGTACTAGGAATACAAAGCTGTATTTCTAACACTATAGCATCCCTCTGCCACTGTTCCCCCAGTTCTCCCTCCATCCATTAAAGGGTTAAATAACAATTTAAACACTTGCCTGATTCTAGCACGGAGGTCTCTCAGTACTGGAACGGACTCTTCCTCCTCTGACGTCAGCCGATGGAGGGAACCTAATGCGAATGAGCAGCAAGCACCGCAAGCGCTTTAGGGATTCCAAGGGGTTTTTCAAAATGTTGGACATCCCCCCGCTGGCAGACATGCGAGGCAGCCTTCAGACTGCAATGTAAAAATTGCAGTTTCTCGAAAACTGCTAAATAACAGGGGTGAGGGAACATGGACACTGCACCTAGATCACTTCAATGAGATGAAGTGGTCTTGGTGCCGATATTTCCCTTTAACACTGGGTGATAATAGGGGATTGTCTCAGGTTTCCTGTGGGATATATGGAGTATGATGTTGAAGAAGTGCAATGTGGTGATAACGCTGTGCCTTAAGGTGTACTACTGTGAATTGCCCCAAACCTCCCCTACAGTAGAAGGTGTGGCAATATTGTGCAGCTATGTTATAACGTTTCAGGTGTGGATTGTTAAAAAGACAGTTCACTTCCTAAATAAAAAAAAAATCCCCCCAAGCTGTTTTTAGATATACCCCTAATGAAAAATGTATAATTAAATGCATGCTTCTTTAACATGTTGTGGTACTGCCTGGAACTATTTGCATTCTGGTTACAGGTCTTCAACATTCTAAGTGATGTGATTAGTGTGTGCCTTTCCCTTGGACTTATGGTGCTATTAAATGGATACCATCAATCTATTTGACTTAGTAACTGAGTATTGCATTTGTGTCACAAGTTCTGCAATACTGCAAGAATTATATTGAGAAGTATTGGAACCCACACTCTCAATTCAATTCTCTATGTTTCTGAATAAAGTACACTTTCTCCATGAAATGGAAGACATGAGTGCCAAGTTTCATGACTCTTCAGAATCACATATCTTCAAAACGTGCATCTCAGTTCATATATTATTAATACATTTACCTATCTAGAAAATGAATATGGTCCTCATTGCCTCCGAGACCTAGCTAGCACGCCCTCTGATACTCTTTACTCTTCTTTCATCTCATTTAATTGTCCCCTTCACACTATAATCTTCTGTCCACAATAATCCATGATTTTCATTCTTTTGATCTCCTCTGTTTTCTAATTTACCATCATTTTTTTACTGTTTATTTACTTATGTTTATCAAAATTAATTTAAATTATGCATCCACACATTGTGACCATACTGACGTTTTAGCAACTTATTGTTGTACCATTTGTAATTGTATATATGTTGTGACAAATGCTCTTTTCCATGGATGTTTGCCACAAACTCAGTGTGGAAGCTGGCCTCCTGCCCACAGACTATGGTCCAGGTCAGAGACCCCGTTTGGGAGTTACCCTGCCTAGCCGCCCTTGGCAGCTTTCCCTCGGTGCCCCTGGTTCAGTAATTTCCCTTCTCACAAATTGAACTGAACTGAACGTTAGCTCCCTGGCAGCTATTCGCATGAACCAACCCACAAACGGTCCTTAGTGGCACTCAGC